TGCTGTTAGAATGCACCAAGGAAATGCACTGTGCGTTGTTTCAGTTAAATATAAAATGAAATTACATTCCCTGAACACTTCCCAAGAACAGCAGGAGGTAGAAGCCTTATGGTGTTGTTTTGCTGGGTGGCAAATGGCAGCTGGCCAGGCCTTGCACATTGACCATAGCTAGTACACCAAACAGATAATCCACACATGAGTAATGGAGAACTGACTCTTGATGCTGGCTCCAGATGACTCTCAATCATCAACTATCAGAGCTTTTGTCAATCAAAAAAGAAAGTGTGGCTTTTAAGAAACACCAGTCTCATTTATAAGGGGAAGGTGGAGCAAAGCTCCAAATAAACTTCTGATCTTCAACTATTTCTCAACAGAAGATTCAAAAGATCTCTTTCAATGTACAGGGTGACTTCATCTTTTCAATAACCTTATCTAACCTTCCCTGGAATGACTAATGTGACTGCAACAGTATTACTCTTTGAAGCAGCATGCTTCTCCCCTGCTTCCCGCCCCCCTTCTCCCCACTGGCCAATTGAGCTAATGCATCTACCAGCCATGTGAGAACTTGTCATTATTTTAAAAAATTAATTACCAGCAGGTTTTTGAGACAGGTGGAATGGGTTTCTGTCACCTCCCTTCTGTGGAGTAAGCAAAGACTGCACTTGCGGACTGGCAGGAGGCTGTACCCAGGCCCTGAGACTTTGGGCATCCTCTATGACAAGGGAGGCCTTCCATCAGTAGGAAGCAGCAGCCTGGCACATGCATCTAGCTGGAAAAGTTTCTGTAAGTCTTGACTGGTTGTTGCTTGGTTGGATGATACTGATGGCAAAAGTAACATTCCAAAGCAATAAATATAAGACTCTGAATAAGGCTTGGCACTTAGGAAATCCTTATGGAATTTATGGCTTGGTGTGATGGGGAAAAAGAGTTTATTTTCAACCATTTATTATGAAAGGGATCTATTTCATTGAGAAAAGAAACGTCAGTATTATTCCAATAAATCTTTGTTTTCTAACGATTCAGATCTTTCCTAAGGAGGGTTTAAAATTCCAAAACAAACTTTATTTTCAAACACAAGTCAAATTTCAGGTGGCCACCTACCAGAAGAGACCATAGAGGAGCTGGGGGAAGAAAGATTACCCCAAGAAAATGAATTACACCACCTCTTTATCCTAATTCCTCTTTTGGAAATTAGATCTTTGTTTTACTTAAGGCAAAACAGCCAGCTTGGCCCGAGAAAAGTGAGATGAGAATGGGAGTAGGGGTGGAGAAAGGAGGGTACTATTGAGAGGTAAAGTGCAAGGGGGAAGAAAAGAAATAAAAATAGACAAGTCAGGGAAAACCAAATGGCAGAGGTCCATTTGTTTATTTTAACAGTGTTTGCCATTCCAGGAGGCTTGCTGAAGTTCCTTCCTTCCACGGCTGGCCTCAGACCAACACTAGAAAAGTCATAGATCTTTGGAAAGAAGATTTGGACAACAAAGTTGTTTTATCTGGGAGGGTAACTAGCTTACTCAAGAGTTCCAGGACTTTGGTTTTGATGTTATTACCTTGGCCTAAGTTTCTCTGTCCCAGGCGGGCCTGGCTCCGTTTACTGATTTTGCAAGGGAAAAGGGTGGCCCGAGGAAGGAAGGGGCTTCTCTCAGGCACTGCTGCCACATTTAGCTGGATCACCTTTGTACCTGGGCACCATGAAGAAGATGAAGACAGGGGAAAAGCAAAACATTTTCTAAAGGTCCTATCTCTCGACACTCATGAGAGAAACAACACTTCTCTAACTTACTCCCCAAATAGACACCGCCGTGGATGTTCTGCCAAGGAGTGATGTGAAAGTGTGTTCCGAAGTGAAATGTAAGCTTGGCCCAGTGCCCAGCTCTCTGCTGTATTTTGCACAGAGAGCTGCAGGCTGAAGGACCAAAGGAACACATTTCTCTCCATGTGACTGCAAGAGCCAGGCAGCCCAAGCAGATTTCTTTGTGTTAATAAAATGTGATCTCTAGACTGTACACACCAACAGCCCTGGGAAAACGTGAGCCAGAGAGAAGGACCCAAGGAAACCCATGGCCCTGGCTGAAAAGGGACTGCAGCTGCCGGCACACTGTGTTGTATCAAGGCAGGGGAATTGCAGGCCTGGCAAATGCAAGTGAGAACACTGCCAGAGATAGAAAGACATGTCAAAGGCTCAGGGGAATGCTGCTTAAGAAACAAAAATAATCCATGGAATCCCATCAAACATGATCCTGAGCAAATGTTTATTCTTTCTTGGTGGGCCACGGACCAAAGTCCTCAATGAACACTCAAGATTTTGACTATACCTGGGATCCAAGGTACCACATCTCTAAACATTCCAAATATGGCAGGAGGTTGACTCCTAAGTTAAACTACACATATTCTGGTCTGCTATAAGGTGTGACAAATATACATATTTCCAAATCCTCAGCCCACAGGGACCCAGTCAAATGCAGCCAACTCTCTGTGAACCGGGGCAACCATGGGAGGCAATCACAAGCAACCCAAACAATCACCTTGGGGCGGCCTGGACTCTGGGGAGCTTTGCTTTTGTGGGAAGCCCCTGACTCCTTGCTTCGGTGGTCTTGTTCTCCACTGACCTCAAAAGAGATCCACTGTTCAGGGTCTCAAGCCTATGAGTCTGTATCTTGAGAAAGGAGGAGGTTCCTAGGCTGAGGAAGAAAGGGGATTAGTGGCCCCTGCTCACTGGGTCTACTTTCAATATATTACTTAATTTCCAGACTTTCAAATTCACTGTGCCCTGTGGTTAACTTGTTTCCAATTTGAACAAGGTGTTGGGCCAGGAGCTGAAAGGTAGAGCAGAGTACCAGGACCCAGAGAACTTCTGACTCTCAGGTACTGTGGGGAAGAATGCAGAACTTTACAGGGCTGGAGGGCTCCTCTGGTTGGAGAGAGAAGTTCCTGGAAGAAGTCACCCCTGGTCCCACTCCCCTGCAGTCGCCCAGTTCCCAGGCTTCCCAACCCTGGGGCAGCTATCAGCCATCCCCAGCTAATTATGGAGCAGCTGAGTTGATGAGTGATTCCCAGGCCCAGGTGAGCCTTCACCTTGGTTAATCTGCAAACCAGTTAATCAGCCTCAGGATAATTGAAAGTTAATCGTATGCAGAGCTCAAGTGCAGTTACTGGAAACAATAGGAAACATGAGTGGCAGAGGAAGTCAGGCCCACTCTCAGTGAACTCTTTTGTAAATCCCCATAGCCAGTGTTTAACCTGGAGCCCACTTCACCCTGTTGCCCAATGCACCCTTGGATCAAGTCCTTGTCACACAGTTACCTGGATCCCAAGGAGCACATAGTTAGTGCTCAACAAATTGCAACGGGTTGATTATTTCTCTGGTGCAGTTCATGGATTTAAAGTTAGGAGTCTGGGAGGGCTCAGAGACATTTGGCTGGCTATGTTAGAAACATACTGGGGGAGCTGCAAAAAGCACTACACTCCCCCTCAACCATTCTTTATAGAAAGAAAAATCTGAAGAGTTCAAACCTTACCAAGAAAGCAGATCAACAGCACAAAAACAAAGCACGTTCCACAGCTGAGAAGTAAACTTCAGCTTGTCTATTCCATTAGCATGGATAACTGAAAATCACCCTCAATCCTTAACAGACTGGCAAGTTCTCTAAAGCTTCCTTTAAAAAGGGGGCTACACTATGATTGCAAACATCAAGGATCGCATGTATGGAGTGTACGGCTGACTGCCAACCAAGGACACGGTTTCCCTGGAATCTGCAGCCATGACCTCTGGCCACAAGCAGCTTACCAGGGCCTATGGTTTGTGGCTGCCTCTGCTGAATCAGTGGCACCTATGCCTGTGCTTCCTTGGAGTATCCACGGAATTACACGTTGGAATTACAGCTTCCCTCCTCCTTGCAATTCCTCTCTGGTGACCAAGGAGCCAAATCAATAGACTTCCTTTCTTCCATTCTATCTGTTAAGTTAATCAGAGTAAGCCTCCTTCAGAGAATAAAACATTATGTGCTGGAGGCTCAGAAAACACTTTTCCGGGACATCGGAAACAACACTGGCCTGAGTCCCTGATCTGCTGCCCAGTAGAAGGACAAGTCCTAAGGAAGCTTCCCAACCTGCTCCGACAGGACAGCAAATACCGGCACCAGTATTGCCCCACCCAAGCCCAGGGCAGACATCACTAATTAATCACAGAACTCTTTTCACTGAGCCCAGACCAAGCCTTAGGCTTTCAAGATGACATTCCAGGCACCTAGTAATCCATCAGAGCCAGCTGCAAGATGAAACCTACTATTACACACAGGTCCTACAAACCTGATTCCAACCATCCAGAGAAGCGGCCAAAGGCCCCCTCTGGCCACTGCCCTTCTAGAAAAGTTGCCATCAAAAGAGCTAGCAGTGGGCCCTGGAATTTCTCCTTCTGTGGCTTTCCTTTTTTTTCTTTTTCTTTATAAAAAAATTATTTTGTCTGGCTAATAAACTACTGCTAAGAAATCCAATCCTTGGAGCAATGATTCCAGCCAGTTACTAATTTATTTTCAGCATTCCCCTGGAATACTGAACACCAGAGAAAATCTGGTGGTTCCCATTCAGCATGAAGACCATTTTTTAAGAAAGTAGCTTGATTGTTGTTGCTTTTTTTCTCCCCAAAAGGTGTTAAATGTCTTTTGCTTTTCAGCTTTAGTTTTTAAATTCCATCATCCTTTATGAGTGGCAGAATGTCAGATTCTTAATCCATCTACTTGGCTCGGGAGCAGCTCCATTACCCCCACGAGAGGCTTTACATTTTTTTAGACATCAAAATGTGAATGTTAATCGTCTCCCAGCTCATAGTAATCTTTGAACACGGGGTCACAAAGCTAGAAACAGCACCTACATTTTATAGAAAAGAAAAATGAGGCTTTTAGAGATTTGGTGATCTGATAAGAGACACCTAATGCTGACAAACTGGCTTTAGAACCTAGATTGGCTGACTCCAAGTTCAGTGCTCTTTGAAACTGGCCTACCTTTGAAATTCTTGCTGTATGTTTTCCATCTTTTGTCACCTGAAAACCAATGGAAGTAATAGTGTTAACCCAATATGGACATTGATTGTGAACTGTTTGGTCAGTTTTCTATTTATGACATACTTAGAAGTTAGAAAGATATAGATTATTCCCACTTTAAAGATGAAGAAGTAAAAGCCAGAGAAGCTGAACACCTAAAGTTATACTTCCAATTATAGCATAGCTGGCACTACAGAATAGGTCTCTTGTTTTCCCAAAGCAGCATCACAGAGCTTACAAAGACCTAGTCCAGCAACTCAGAACCCTGGAAGCAAGACTCCAAAGATATTAACTACAAGTGCATTTTAGAACATGGTCTTTACAGACCAGAATCGGACGCCGAAGTAAAACTGAGTGACAACCCAAGTAGGCAGGATCCCACACCCTATCACTGACAGCTTGTCAATGTAATTTAAGTTGCACAACAACCCTGCGAAATAGGGTCGCCATGTCATGTTCTGGATGAGGACATGGGGGCTCACAATTCAAGTTTCTTGCTCAAAGTTTCCTGGCTTTTCAGTAGACCCCTGATTCCAAATTGAATTTAGCTTCGTGACTCAAGGGCTGCACAATCACGTGCTGATGCTATTAGGACTGTGTTTCTCTGAATATCTTTATCAACGCTTGTTATTTCTGCCTTGAAAATGATTTCATCCTGATCTCCATGGTTTTTGGCCACCGAGATATGCCCAAATTTATTTTTAAGCTGCCTTTAGTCAGAATGGAAGGGCTGATGGAGAAAAAAAGAAAACATACTTTGGCAACATATTCATGACATTCAGTCCTCTTGGGAACAGACTAAATTCCAGGGACCAATATCATTTCTAATATGAGTTGATTTTCTACAACTACAGTAAGTGTTTAGGACAATCCTGGTTTTAATACATAACGACTACTGCTATGATTTCACATTGAATTTGGCTGATTTAAACTTGAGAGCATTGTGTCCACTCTTTTATAAAAGTGGGGGAGGGACTCAGAGATATATTTTGTTTTGCTTTTCTGGTTTTAATTTTGAGATGGAGTTTCACTTTTGTTGCCCAGGCTGGAGTGCAATGGTGCAATCTCGGCTCACTGCAACCTCTGCCTCCTGGGTTCAAGTGATTCTCCTGTCTCAGCCTCCTGAGTAGCTGGGATTACAGGTGCCCACCCCCATACCCAGCTAATTTCGTATTTTTAGCAGATGGGGTTTCACCATGTTGGTCAGGCTGGTTTCAAACTCCTAACCTCAAGTGATCCACCCTCCTCAGCCTCCCAAAGTGCTGGGATTACAGGCATGAGCCACTGCGCCCAGCTGTGACTCAGAGATATTTGCTGGGATACAAAAATATGCTGAGGGAGCTTTAGCTGAAATGGAACATCCCTCTCAAGAGGGGAAAATCTTGCCTAGTTTCATGCTGATATATTTTGTAATGCCTTTAAACTGCTGTACCTTTAAAAGCCTTATCCTGCCACACCCGTATGTACAGTGCACAACATCTTGTATCAAGACACATGCCAAGGGCCAAGAACCTCATAGCTGTAAACTAGTTGGAAAGTAAAGTCATATCAACTTTATCACACCAGTTTAAGAATCTCAGTTCTTAAGTCAATCAACTTCTAGTTGTCCCCTTGGTGTAAAAACTGTTTTGAAACATTTTTTCCAAACAATCTACTTTTGTTTTTACAATTTTCTTATATTTCCATTCCAGTTCAGCAGAAAAGTCCATTCTTTCCTATCTGGACACCTCCCTGCCACTTTTCCCTCTGGTACAGACAAAGGAGAGCTATGGAGAAAATATTTGAGACTCACACTAAGGAGAGCAGAAGGCCAGGGAGTTTTGTGACCATTGAAAACCCATTTTCCTGCCTCCACGTCACTCAAGAGCCCATCACCAACAACTAGAGGACAGCCAGTTCACAACTTCATGGCCCAGAAGTGTCACCAAGGGCAAAAAGAAGAAACCTCAAACACAAATCTGGCAGCATGCTAGAAAGGCTCTAGAGCACTAAAGGAAGTGTATTCTAAATTCCATTTCACCCTTCTCCACTCAAGATCTTCCAGGCATAGTACCAGAAGACATATGCAGGCACAGCAGGACATATGGAGATGGAAGACACAGCCTGGGCCAGCAGAGCATACATCTATTAGAAGAGCTATTCAAGAAAGCAGGCAGTTACACTGTGACATGCAAGGGTAATAGGACACAAATGGTATCTGAGGTGGGATGTTTCTTCTCACAGGTGTAAATACACAGAATGCTCACCTGCTTTATCTCTTCATGATCCTTTCTTTCCTGCAATAACTCAAAAGCAGTTTCCAGGTCATCACTGGTATAGCACTGCTGTAACACAAGATGTGTTCCTACTTCAGTGTCCATAAAATAGCCATGGAGGTGGAAGAAGGAATAGTAATTGGAGAATAAAAATAAAACTGCTGAAAGCTGCCATTTATATATTGAGCACTGTTCTAAGTGCTTTATATGTAGCCTCTCATTTACTTCTCCAGGAATCCTTTGGAGCAGGTATTAGCATCCTCACTTACAATGAAGGGAACAAATGCAGAAGAGTTATATGCCTGATAGATCCCACCATCTTTGGGGTGGCCGATGGCATCCTCTCTGGTGGCAGGTAAATGAATGAAAATGATATTTTGGTTCCATGTACTTATGTGAAAATTTAACTTTAAAGATATGAAAATTGAGCGGTTGGGGGAATGCAGAAGGGGACAGATGGAGATAACTGGCAACAATTTGGTGGGAATGCTAATCTGAATTACTGAAATGTCTGAATGACAAAAATTCTTTTGCTATTCACTAATATACACTTGTGGTTCAGAATATTAATTTATATATACACAGTTAAAATCTTTAAAAACTGTTTTGCACTCAAGTTAACTCTGTGTCCCAAAATTATGTTTGCATAATTAATCTGTTAATATCTGTTAATATTTTGCTAATATTTTTCTTTTTAAATGTTTAAAGAATGTATAATGTAGAGAGGGGGTTTCACTCTGTTACCCAGGCTGGTCTTGAACTCTTGGCCTCAAGTGATCTTCCCACCTTGGCCACCCAAAGCACTGGGATTATAGGACTCAGCCACTGTGCTCAGCTAGAAATATCTTTCTTTATAAAGAAGACAAAGATATAAATTTTAGTTTTTTAACAAAATCAACATAAAATGATTATAAAATCTTAATGCAGTGTTACTGCCAGGCGAGTGAGAGGGTCAAAGGAAAAATAAAATATAAGTAGACCTGAATTGTTTCTTTATACCTAGTTTGTGTAACACTGAATCTTCCTGTCATTAGTCTTCTAGGAATCCAATAACTAAATATCATTATCTGGCCTGCTAGGTTTGGGTACATTTCAGTTACAATGTTAAAAATAATTTTTTGACATGAATGTAAATATTATTTTTTAACCATTTAGTTGTCACTGCCCATTTGAAATAAACATGCTTCAGATTGTATGAGGAAGAAATATACTCCCCCAGGAAGGCATACTAATACCAAGGAATCAATCACAATACAAATTCTATGAAATTCTTACGAGGTCAGTTCTGCAAATTTCTCTCTTCTTGTCTTCAGAAACTCAAGGCTTTACTTCTGTCTTTACATTTCATATTACCTACTCTTTCGTCTATAAATCTTTCAATGGCCTTTGGCCTTTTAAAGGCAATACTATTTTGATTGGATCTGAGACCTCTGTCCTGTTTTCAGGGTTCTCTAGTAAGAGCCTGTATGGTCTCCTTCAGTGATACTAACTCAGCCCACATTATAATGAATCCATCCTAAGGCAAATTAAGTCTTCTGTTCAATCCTTGGAGCAGGCTGAGTTTAACTGTTCGCCACTATCCTTAAAAGAACCCTTCATATCTTGAGGTATTGAGATTTCTGTTTTGGGTAATCTGATTACTGCACATCTAGATGATCTTGTTCATCTGGTTTACAGCATTGACTCCCATTGGTCAGGACCTGGTGGCATCCTTCCCCCAAACAAACCTTTGTGTTTCCCATTCAATTCAATTCAAGAGGCATTGTGGATGAGCCAACAGGCTTAACTCTTTCCATTAAGTGCAGAAGCACTCAGGGAGCAGTGATGAGGCTTTCCTGCTCTACTGTCCATGCCTGGGCTCCACAGCAGACTGTTACCCAGAGCTAATTAGAAAAGAAAGCATTGCTCTTCCCCACTCAAGGAATTTCTGCCAAAGCATTTATTTCTGCTGATCCATTTATGCAATTCCACTTTCTATGAGAACATTTTGTCACAGATGATTTAGTGCTGCAGCTCCCTGGAGCATCTTTCTGTAGCATGTACTCATTGTTTTTAGGAATCTAGGGTCTCCCAGGCAAAATTTGAGAGGCAACAGAGTTTAATAGCCACAAGACATGTCTCATTATAAGCCCTCAAATTCCAAAGCATTCTTCCAAAGATCATTAAGGAAACAAATCCCAGATTAAACTTCTAAAAACAAAACTTTTACAAACCCTGTGTGACAGGGGAGCTGTGTAGTTTTTCAGGAAAGAAAATGAGATTGGATGGGTAGTGAGTTAAGGGACTAACATCCATTTGTTAAAGTTAGAAAAGAAAGAAAACCAGCATTTTAGAAATTTTCACATTCGGTCATGGAGTCTGTACCCACCATTTTAACACAAGCCAATTTAACAGAAACAAATACTGTATAGTTTCTTCCCCAGCAGACTCTTGGTTCTGCCAACACTCCTGTAATTGTCTACTATATGTAGCTGGAGGTGAAATTGCCTACATTGACTGCTATTTTTTATTTACGTGAACTAGATTGGGTTATGGCAACTCCTTCAGCCTTGTGAAATCTTGGCTTGATATCAGAGCACACTTTGGGAGGTACCTGAGCAAGTCATTTCATGTACGGGACATTCAGCAGTCCTATCCCCCCAATTCTATCCCCTCCCACAACGTCCCTTTCCTCTGCCAGTACTCCCAAAATGAAACACACACACACACACACACACACACACACACACACACACACCCCATATC